ACCCCAGCTTTTCAAAAATATTTTACTAATTCCTTGAAAATCTCATACAATGTATTTTTATCGTATTTATCCCCCTCCTCCAATTACTCCTAGGTATAGGTTTCATCTTGTGTCTTTCATCTGATTGTCTTAAATACAGCCAGAAAGTGGCTGGTTACTCCCATAACTCATGCCTCTATTGCGCCAGTAGACATATCTTGCCAAGCAGGTCATTATTGCAGCGTGCAGTGTTCACATCTGGGTGAGACTGAATACACAGTACCTTCCAACACTGAAATCTAACCAGAGAGGTAAAGCCTCCAGGTCAGTACCTGCTTGATTTCTCCGTGTTTGTGACTCAGTGTGTGATGTCTTCAGCAATAGGTTCTTACTGTCAGCCTCTGATCACCAAGAACAGTGGCAATAGCCTGTAATGTTTGAGGGTCTATGAGACCACTGGCTAGCAACTCAAAACGAGGTACATTCTAGTGCTGGGTTTTTTGTATTTTATTTTGGTTTTTTGAGATAGGGTTTTATTGTAGTCTAGGCTGCCTTTTTATAGCCCAGGGATGATCTTGAACTAATCCTCTGGTCTCCATCTCTCCAGTGCTGGGATTACAAGTATACACTGTCTGGCCTGGTCTGTGTAGTTCTTGCAGTTGAACATAGGAGTGTTCTCTAAATTAGGTGAGCATTCTGCTAACTGTGTTGTGTTCCCAACCCCATTACTCCAGCTTATTTTTCATCATTGAATTTGAATAAATATACAAACCACAAAAGGTCATAAGGTTAAAGCCTGCAGTGTAGACCATGGAAAAAATAGCCAAGATATTTTATATTAAAAAGCTTTGTAAAATTAAAGTTAATTTTTTTTTGTCTGAATGCTATTTTCCTAGTTGCCATACATTTAAGTCACTACTTCTGAATGAAATGATTACAGGGAGGTGAGGCTGTCAAGCATTCTAGATAGTCATATTAAATTAAGCTTTGTTATATGTGGTGATTTTTCCCCCTTAAGAGACTGTCTTACTATCTATTCTGGGTGGACTTCATTCCCTGTGTAGCTTTGTTGGCCTCAAGCTTAACAATCTTCTTGCCTTAGCCATTCAATAATCATTACATGTGCATGCTACCCAGGCTAGCTGGCAGTAATACTTTGAGGAAGATAATTGAACCTGTGTTCCATTTGGACTTTTAATAATTGGTGGACAATTATTTTATAAACATGGTTTGCGGTGACTGTCCATTCCCAGAACTCTAATTAGCTGAAATCATATCATGGTATTTATGGCTAATAGTTATCCCTGAGGACATTAGAACAAATCCCCAAATAGAGAATACACTAATGATATGCTTAGAAATTGAAAATGAAACTGAAACAGAGTTGACAGTGAGCTAATCTTTTACGGGGGTAACAGTGTGTGTGTGTAATTTAGGTTTTATGTTCTTAATTACAATAATTATTTTTATTTTTTTGAAACAAGGTAACCCAGGTTGGCTATAAAGTCATACTCTCTCTTGACTAAGTTGAGTGCTTAGTTAGTTGACCCAGAAGGTTTTGTATTTTATTTTGTTTCAGATTTATTTTATGTACATGAGTGTTTTATCAGTATATATGTGCATGTCTGGTGCTTGTGGAGCTCAGAAGAGGGTAATCCAGTCACCTGGAACTGGAGTTAAAGACAGTTTTGAGCCATCATGTGAAGATCAAACCCAGTCCTCTGGAAAAGAAAATTAGTGCCATCTCTCCAGTTCTACATTATGTGTTTTTTATGTGCAAGTATTTTTTATTGTTTTTATTGAGCTATATATTTTTCTCTGTTCCCCTCCCTTCCTCTCCTTCCCCTTCTACTCTCTCTCTCTCGTGACCCCATGCTACCAATTTACTCAGGAGATCTTCTCCTTCCTGTGTAGATCCATGTATGTCTCTCTCAGGGTCCTCTTTGTTGTCTAGGCTTTCTGGGGTTATGGACTGTAGGTTGGTTTTTCTTTGCTTTATGTCTAGAAACCACTTATGAGTGAGTACATATGATATTTGTCTTTCTGCATCTAGGATACCTCACTCAAACATAGAAAAATATACCTTCTTCTCAGCACCCCATGGAACTTCTCAAAAACTGACCACATACTCTGTAACAAAGCAAACCTCAGCAGATACAAAAGAATTGGAATAACCCATGTATCTTATCGGATCACCATGGCTTAAAGTTAGAATTCAACACCAACATTAATTTTAGAAAGCACACAAACACATGGAAATTGAACAGTGCTGACTTGAAACACCAATGGGTCAAGGAAGAAATAAATTAAAGACTTCCTAAAATTTAATGAAAATGACCGCACAACATACCCAAACCTATGGGACACAATGAAAGCAGTGTTAAGAGGAAAGTTCATAGCACTAAGTGCCTACATATAGAAGTTGGGAAAATCTACATTATGTATTTTAAATATTTGCTCAGATGACTTGAAAGATTCTCTGTTTAATGCTTAGAGGCAAGGATTGCCTTGATTACTCGATAATGTCTGCTTGGTCAGGTAATCTGGAAGTGCAGGTACATATCAATGCTGCAGAAAGGTTCCTACTGTGTACTTTGTTTCATATGCCCGTGTAAACCCAGTACTCAGAGGCTGAGGCAGGAAGATGCCATGAGTCTGAGGACAGCTTGGGCTACTTAGTGAATACTAAACCATCCAATTATAGAGTGTGACACTGTCTCAACAAATAGCCATCTTAGGCTATTTGTACTACTGTATGTGCTTGCTGCATATGTGTGGGTTTCATGACAGGGTCTAACTGTAGCACAGCCTTTGAACTCCACGCTCTTCCTGCCTCAGCCTCCTGGGATGACAGGCATGTGTACTCAGTCAGGCCTGAGTGTAGTTTTGACTTGTATTTTCTTAATGACTAATGATGGCGAGTATGTGTCCTTGTATTTATTGACTATTTTAATACTTACTTTGCAGAATGTCTTTTGCCCATTTGTAAATTGAGTGGTCACTTTGTTATAACGGTTCTGTATATATTGTGGGTGGGTATTATTAAACAATTTGCACATAATTTTTAGTTCTGTAGATTGTCTTTACTTTCTTGAAGCACATGTTTTTAATTTTGTTGATTTATAGTTTATTGTTTCATAATCATTTCTAGCAAATTATTGCTAAGTTCAAGATCACAAAGATTTATATGGCTTATTTGGTAAGTTCTATAGATTTGTTTGCTACATTTAATAATTTGACCCATTTTGAGGTTTTTAGCCAAGGCCTCATTAACAGTATCAGTTACGAGTTCCATCTTATGCAGTAGACCTTCAATCCAATGCAGGGGTGTGGTGGGTTACTCCCCTAACATCCATTAGCAGGCAGGCTGCTAGTACTGTTAGCCGAGTTCATAGCTGGGCAAGAGTGATGATCACTTTTGACCTCCAGTAAAGTATAAGAGCCTTTGACCACTATTAACATCAATCAGTGTGAGTGAAGCTTCCATGTTGTAGAATACAATATTCAATTATGTAAGGATGTGTTGTATTTGTTTGTTTTGCAGAATAATTGGTTCCCTATGTAAAGATGTGTTCCATTTGTTTATGCTGCATTTGTTTAATTATGTAAAGATGTGTTGCTTTTGTTTTTGTGGCATTTGTTTAGGTAAAGATGTATTTTACCTTGCCTGCCTAAGCCACCTGATTGCCCTAATAAAAAGCTGAATGGCCAGTAGGTAGACAAAGGAGGGATAGGTGGGGCTGGTAGGCAGAAGAAAAAGGGGAGCCAGCCAGCTGGGGACCAGCCAGACAGGAAGGAAGCAGGAATGCAGGATGGACAGTATGTAGATGAGGTAGCACATAGAATAACAGAAATGGATTAATTTAAGTTAAAGAAAAAGAGGGCTACCTAGAAACAAGCCTAAGCTAAGGCCAAGAATTCACAATTAATAAGTCTATCTCATTATTTGGGAACTGGTGGTCCAAGAAAGTTGGCTACACTTCCAGTTGGGCACCTGCTCGATTTCTCCACGTTTAATGAATTGTCTTCAACAATAAGGTCTTACCATCAAGTTGTAGAGGAAATCCAGTAGCATTGGCAAGAGCCTATAATGTTGGGGGGGCAATCTCTAGGACCCTTTGGCCAAAACTCAAAAAGATGTAACCATTCATGTTGTTGGAGGTTTTATTTGGTAGCATATTGTGACTAGGTGGGGTATTGTCCCCCCCATTATAATGTACATCAAGTTAAATTCCTTTTCTATATGTACATGTTTTAGGAAGGTCTCCTTATGGGTTTTCAAAGCTGTTAACCCTCACCATATTCCCTCTACCCTGCGTTGCTATCCCACACCTCACTTCAGCCTCCTGCTCTAATTTCCCCTTATAACTCAATATTCTATATCCCCTTCCTTGGAAGACCCCCCCCCCAAATTCCCTAACCTCTGGGTATGCTAAGCGGCGTGTGTGTGTGTGTGTGTGTGTGTGTGTGTGTGTTGGGATTTTGGTAGCATGACCAGTTCACAGTGTTACTTCTCCCAGCTCATGGGTATGGGGAAGTTATTATTCCATCTCCTGGTGTCTTCTTCACTTTCCTTCTTTGGCGTCTTAAAATTGTTATTATACAGGTCTTTCATTTCTTTTGGTTTTAAAACATATATCAGTATATTAAAATAACTATTTTGAATATTTAGAATATATATAATTTGAGGAAGTTGTGAAAAGTACTCTTTCCCTGATTTCTTTCTCAGTATGTTAATCATTTGTACATAGGAAGGCTATGAATTTTAGTGTTAATTTTGTATACAGCTACTTTCCTGGAGTTTTTATAAAAATCATACTATCTAATAGCAGCATCTTGACAGTCAGAACTCAGGAGAGCAAACGACGGCCATTGTTCTCCCAGCAATGATGCTCAACAGCACGGTCCCCTACAATACTTTAAGACGCTAACCTTTGACCTGTTTTTAAGTACTGTTCTGTATCAGTTTACTAGAATTTAAAACAGCCATTAATAGGATGATTTTAATAATTTCCTACCAGGCATGGATGGGCAGAAGCCTTTGCAGGTATCAGAAGTTCCCACATCAAATACATCTGTCCACATGCGTGAGTATTTCTAATATTTAGGTTTTTTTCTTCAGAATTTGGAACAAATTGTAATAGCTTTGCTTTTCCAGAAAAAAATATTCAAATATAATTGTTTCTCCCTTAGGTAAAAAGGACAAGTGACACTCCTTAAAACTAGAATATTCTCTTGGAAATAAAAATCTTTTTTTTGAAATTTGAGATATTCTTTTAGAGGTCAGATGAACTTAAAGCCACAAAATTCTTTTAGGTATGTAAGTACCTGCAGAGTTACAAAGGTACCATATTTCATCTATAAACAGGTTACCTGCTATATTTGTGAGAAATTTTCATTCAGTTGAAGACACTCAGATTTTATTAATTAGAGACAATGTGATATACTATCATAGACAGGGTCTCAGTACCTGGCTCTGAAAATGTTTACTGGTATTAGAGACCTAGCAAGTTTTGAACAAACTCAGAAAATCAATAAGCTTGGCTAATTTGAGGTAAAAGGTTACTAAGAACAGCCAGGGGGAGCTAAAAGCGTTGGGGCGTGCAGTAGGGTAGTGCTCACGCCTCAGATCCTCAGATGTGACGACTGAGGAGAGTGCGCTCTGAGACTTCCTTGTCCGGCAGCAGAGTCTGACTTAACCTCTGTAGTCTGCAGCTGAATGAAGGGACAGAATCTTGATTATTTGCATTTTCAATATATTTGCCCCTAAATTGAATTGCTCTAAGGCTGTATACTAATCTGGGGAAGTTTATGTTTTCTTGAAATGTTGAATTGGTTTGATTTATGAATCAGGAGGTTGGCATTGGTAATTAAGAGTATATTTGTGTTTCTTTCCTCTAGTACCAGACTTTTTTGATTGTTTAGCCTATTTTTCATTCCAGATTTGAGTTGGACATAATGAATACTAGGGTAGAACTTATATTTATTTATAAGTCTCTTAATCAAGCAAGCATGTAACTAGGGAATAGGCAAAATGTAATCTGGCTATATGGAGATTAATGGTACAGTAGCTAGCAATAAATTGCTCTTTCAAGAGTCTCATTTATATATTTCCCATTGTTCCATTTTCTAGAAGTTACAGTTATTAAGTAAGACCATTGAGACAAAGAGTACTTGTTATGAGCCATTAGTCCTGAGCCAAGTTAGTCCTCTGCAACAGCTGCTGGCTTGAGAGAGCAGCTGTGGGACAAAGGGAGCAGAGCTGTGCGGGTAGAGACACGACATGCACTGCATGTTAAAGCCATGTGTGACCCTTGACTCTGTTATTCTGATGTGCTTTGTTTCTTTCCCACACAGGCCCATCATGCCTGTTACATTAAATATGAATATGGCAATGCCTTCCTGGTAAGTAAGAGTTTACTTGCTCATAAGAACCTTTTAGTCACCAGGCAGTGCTGGGCACCCCTTTAGTCCTAGCACTTAAGAGGCAGAGGCAGGCGGATCTCTATGAGTTAGAGGCCAGTCTGGTCTACAGAGTGAGTTCCAGTACAGCCAGGGCTACATGGGGAAACCCTATCTCAACGAACAAACAAAAAAACTTTTACTCTTTGCAGAAGAGCATTGCAAGAGAACATCTAAGCTTAACTTTTATTCCAGTATCGATACTTTATAGCTGTCAGTTAACTTAAGAAGCTATACAAAAGGTAGAAAAACAAGAGTAATAAAGAGAAATCTGTCATGCTGCGTGGTGTTTGTTGGTTACATTAATCATACATTTGAATCATGAGACATGCACATTGATTACGCCACAGAGTCTTAGTTCTGCCCACTCCTTGCCTTCCTGACTGCCAGGTTGGATGCCATTTCCCTTGCAGCCCTCTCAAGATGCCTGCCATGCCCTTCACAGCCAGAAAGAAGAGTTAGTGAGGGCTATTTATCCACAGACTAACTTGAAGTTAATAAACGTATTTGCCAGCTATGGGCTTTTAGAATTTAATAGTCTTTTCTCTTGGCTTTATTTTGTAGGTTTGATATTATTGGACTTTCACCAGATTCTCAGGAGGATGAATCTGGAATTAAGCAGGCAGCAGAAAATGGTGAGTACCAAATGTGTTTATAAAGGCAAACACATTCATGAGTGTTTTTAGTAGATTCAGTAGTTGAAGTTTGATGAAATGTTGTTTTTAGTAGATTCAATACTTAAATTTTGAGTCAATATGACATAGTTATGTGTTTTCAGGAACTAATCTCTTTGTCCCTTTCCCTTACTTTCCACCTTCCTCTTCCTCCCTCTTCCCCTCCCTTTCTCCCTTTGCCATGCTAGGGACTAACTTAGGGCCTCACAAATACTAGACAAGCGTACTCTCTCCACTCTGATAACTCTCCTTTGCACCACACCTACATATGCTCTCTTCTCTGTAGTCAGTGGCAGCCATGTAGTGGAAAGGAGCAGCTTTTCTTTGAAAGGTGGTTTTGATTGACATAAGCAAACCTGAACATTGTGGTGTCCATCTATAATCCCAGCTTTGGAAGGCTGAGGTAAGAGGATTGCTGGGAGATACAGCCAGCCTGGATTGCACAGCAAACCCGTCCCAAAACAAATATATTTAGGCAGTGGAGAAAATAGTACTTTGTTTAATAGTTGTATAGTTATTAAAGAGACTTGAAGTAATGATACTGACATAAAGATAACTAACAGTAAAAGTGATAGGAATGGTTAATATTAGTGAAATATTAATAGAGAGCACTGATTTATCACTTAGCTTCTTACCAGCTGGTCATTTCTTATAAGCTGGCTCGCATGTTGGAGTTAGAGTATCTTTGGTTTTCATGTAATGCAGTGACTGACAGTGACTTTAGGCTAGTCAGTGTGGTGACTTCTGTCTGCAGGCTGCATTAGAAGGAACCAGCCCAGCTGAGAATTGGTGATTGCAGTCTTAGAGCAGTATACATGAGCTGCTCTTTCTATCTGTATATTTGAAGTTTTCCAAAATGGATAAAAAAAAAAAAAAAAAAAACAAGAAATCCTTTCATTCTTTATAAAAAAACAACTTGAAATCTTTGAGATAGAAAATACATCTGAAACACATTAACTCTCAGGGGACATGAAATCCTGACCAGTGACTTTTTAGATTATCAGAATGTGTTAATGCCAGAATCCTAGAGCTAAGGTTTTGTCTTAAGATTAAATGAGAAAAATATTTATTTGGGTATAAGTGTGTTATTTGGGTATAAGTGTCCTGGTTACCCTTCCCCTGAGTAAAAGATTCTCTTTTAACAATAGAGGTGGCTATTTCTTTCCTCTCAAATGAATGCTAAGGGGAATGAAAGTGAGAGCCCGCTAGGAAGACAAGGGTAGAGAGGACAGACAGGCTGCTGATACTGTCAGATTGCCTTCTGGGAGAGCATCATGCTCTTAGGTAGAATGTGAGTGAGTTTGAAACCCACTGCCCTAAAAGTGGCTGTATTCCCTGTGGTTTGTTAAAACATTTTGTTTTATACCATGTGGATTATAATATCAGTTGGTGAAATCCAGAAATTAAAGCTAAATAGTCTCAGGGTCCTGGTCTGGGTGAAGTTAAAATTCCTCAAGCCCACAGCTGCCACCTCCTTGCTGACAGCTGGACTGTCTCTGTCCCTATAACAGTTTATTTCATAGTGTAAAACCCACTGTCTTATGCTCTTCACACTAGTTGGACTGCCTTTTCTTTTTCACCAGACACACACAGGTACACACAGAATATCAAATGACTCCTCTGTCATCTACTGTTTCTATTTAAATAGAATTGTAGTCATTTGAATTACAAGAAAAAGTAATACAGCCGTTTTTAAAACCATGACTAATGGTGTTAGAAACTGTAAACTACAAATTACATAATCTTTAAATGTTTCAAAATGACAAGTTGTACCTCATTTCTGTTTAGTTTGTTGGGCAAAAATATAAAATGTACACTAGAAGTAACCATACACAAAAGGACATAGAGCTCTCTGTGCAGAGAAAGTCCGTAACAGGAAGTCATAGAAGTGCTGAGCTCTGCAGCCCCGGAGAGCCTGAGGAATCACATCTTGAAACAACTGCCACTGTGTTAAAATAGGATGCTTCACGGTTCCATTCCTTTCTGTCTCTAATACACTCTGCGTCTGCTATTTTTCTTGGATCTTTAATTATCTCAGTGGACTTAATATTGTTGATATTTTTCTTGTTTTTAGTAAAAGCTTTGATAGAGCAAGAGGTGAAGAATGGCATTCCCTCTAACAGAATTATTTTGGGAGGATTCTCTCAGGTGAGTTTGGGCGTGTCCATACCATCGGCATATTGATCTACAGTCTACCTCCAGTTGTGTGTCTTTGGAAAGAACCCCTTGTTTAGAGCTGCTACGGGAATCTTAGATGACACGGTGCCCGAGTAACAATGGCAATGGACTGGACAGAACTTGTTTATTTTCTAGCTTCTTATCACAATCATGTTCTCCTGTAGGTTGCCTTTGAATGGCCTGGTTTTTAATGGCCTTTAATCCCAGCGCTCAAGGACATAGAGGCAGGGGGAATCTCTCTAAGTTTGAGGCCAGCCTGGTTTACAGAGCAAGTTCCAGGACAGGATTCAAAGCTACAGAGAAACCCTGTCTTGACAAGGGTTGAAACCTAGAATGTACTAATATTATTATTTGTTTTGTTTTTTTGAAGCAGGGTTTCTCTGGGTAGCCCTGGCTGTCCTAGATCTGTAGATCAGGCTGGCCTCGAACACACAGATATCAGTCTGCTTCTGCTGGACAGAGATCTGCTGGGATTAAAGGTGTACATCACCACTGTCCAGCTAGAATATACTTTCTTAAAGTAAACACAATACACTAATTAGGCTTCTTTTAGTGAAACAGGATTATAAGGGAGTGGGTGTAAGTGCTTAGGTTTCTCAGATATGAGTATGGTATTACTTGGGGTTTGTTCTTCAGCCTTATATTTTCTCCATGCCCAGCTTCTTTATGTTGACCTTACATCCGTCTTGGCTTGTTTCATGGTACTAGTGATTGCCCTAGGACTTAGCACAAGACAAATAAGCTCTTTATGACTGAGCTATATCCCTACCTTGAACTTACATTTTTACCTAACCAGTTTCCAAGTAACCTGTTCCCAGAATGTTCTAGCTTCTAGTTTCCTCAGTCAGTAACTGTGAGAAATGTCAGAATTCTGGAGCAGTTGAGACAATAAAACTCAATCGAATGTGCTACATATGGTAATGTGGTCAATATAGTACATGAAAGGGTGTTATTGATGGCAGCTGAAGAGTTGGCACAGCAGTTAAGAGCACTTGCTCTTCTAGAGGACCCAGGTTCAATTCCGAGCACCCATATGGCAGTTCACAACTGCCTGCAACTCTAGCTTCAGAAATCTGACACCCTCACACAGACATACATGCAGACAAAATGGCAATGCATGCCTTTAATCTCAGCACTTGGAAGGCAGAGGCAGGCTGATCTCTGGGTTCTCTAGTCTACAGAGCAAGTTCCAGCATGGCCAGAGGTACACAGAGAAACTATTTTAAAAACCAAACAAAAAACTTTTAAAAGGGATTACTGATATGTGGTCTTTGTTTAGATAATACAAAACACATATACTCACACAAGCATAAGGCCAAAAATTAATGCTTAATTAAAGTATAATGTGCACATAGTTGTTATTTAATACTGATTACAGCCTATAGAAACTCATTCCTAGGGCTGGGGAGATGGCTCAGGCAGTGTAGTGCTTGTCATACAGCCACGAGGTGCCAAGTTTGATCCACAGACCCTGTATGAAAAGCTGAGTGTGATGACAAGCCTCTATAACACCGGTGCTAGAGAAGTGGCAACAGACAGATCCCCTGAGCTACCTGCCCCCCTCTTTCCATGCCTCAAAAAAATAAGGTGGAAAACGAGTATGGAAGATACCTGAGTGCTACACTAACCGTCCATACACCTAAGGACACCCATCCCAAATACTTTAACCAAGAAGTTCTAAGTCTGTGGTATTATATCAAGGAAACTGAAACTCTAACTACACCTCAGAAAACAGGTGGTACTTAGCAATCCATCAGGACTCTCTCCAGCCTCGTTTCTTTCTCTCGCCTTTCCATCTCTCGCCTTTCCACCGTTAGCCATGTTAACTTTTACAGCTCTGGGGTTTACATGTTACATTTCCGACCATATGCAGATTGCCTGAAAGTAACTTAATTTCAATCCCACAGTCCTGGGACCATGTGGTACAGGCCTGAGCAGGGTGGCGGCATTTAGATGGAGGACAGGATTACTGTCCCCAGCACATGGCATGTTGTGCGCTAGGTGGGCAAATCTCTAAAGATGTCTGGTATTCTGTCTGTATTATCTTAAATTCCTGTTTTGGAAAAATAGTTTAAATCTCATTTGGAGTTAAGATCTAAGACTATTCAGAGAAGAAAACGAGAATGTTAAATTCAGACTGTCCTTTAGCCATGCTGCCAGTGGAGATCTTGCATTAGTGGGTTTTCTTGGAGGTGGAGATCCATCCATTATGAGTATGTAGCATGGATTCCAGTTGGTATTAATAATAAAAACAGAGTCAGATATAGGGTTAATGCTGAAGATCCAAGAAGCAAAGTGGCCAGCCACTAGAGCGTTCTTTTACTTCTACCAATGCTCAGACCAGAGAAGGAATCCTGTTCTCAGATTGTCTCCTCAGCCGCATCACTCCTGTCTCCACCTCTTTAGTACCAGGATTAGTGTGCAGTCCCAAATGCTGGGATTAAAAGCATGTGATCCCAAGTGCTGGGATCACCTTTGTGTGAGCTGTTTCTCTTTTAGACAGATTCAATTTTGTGTAGCCCAGGGAGGCCTGAACTAAGAGATCCCCTCTGCCTATCTCCCAAGACCTGGGATTAAAAGTGTGCGCCACCACTCCCTGACCTCTAGTGGCTCAGCTCTGCACTCTGATTTTCAGGCAAGCTTTATTTCTTAAAACAAAATAATATCACTACATGATTATATATTTTCATTCTTTACCTGATTTGATTTTCTTTTCCCCTTAGGTTTTTCAAAACAAGGTTTTTCTGTGTAGCCCTGACTGTCCTGGAACTCTCTCTCTGTAAACCAGGCTGGCCTCAAACTTAAAGAGATCCACCTGCTTCTACCTCCCTAGTGTGCCACCATGCCCAGCTTACCTGGTTTGATTTCACAGAGTATATATTCTTATAAGCATTAGTAATAAGAATTCTCTCATATGCTTTTTGTCAAAACTGCTCCATTTAACTCCCTGCTTCTGTTTCAGGGAGGTGCTTTATCTTTATATACTGCTCTTACTACACAGCAGAAACTGGCCGGCGTCACTGCGCTCAGTTGCTGGCTTCCACTTCGGGCTTCATTTCCACAGGTAGCTTGTGTGGGGCGAATAAATGAGATTATAGATCTTAGGAGGTAGCAGACAATGTTTAGGAGCAAGTCATTTTTTTAATTAACCACCTTTTTATCTTTTTTTAGAAGTAATAGGTTTATAGAAAATTGAGTGGGAAATGAGTTCTCTTTCCTCCTTTCCGCTCTACACACAGCCTCCCCTACGGTAGACATCCCACACTATACTGTACCTTGTTGGTGAGCCTACACTGAAACACCATTACTACCCAAAGTTCACGGCTTACAACAGTAACTTATTTTTAAAGTATTTCTTTTCCTTTGTGGTGTACTACTAGACTTGATCTGTATATCCTTCCTGTGGTATACACAGACTAAGAAGCTTATTGTCCTGTCTTACATTTAATTATTTGGTACATTTTTAGATATGTATTCACACACACATTTTTAACTCAAATGTTAAATGTTTAGTATAGTCATTTGCAGATTTTTACTATAAATTTGTAATTTATTTTAACAGTGGCATAATATGTTATGTACTATCAGAGATAGATTATTTTCAGATTCTTTATTTTACTTTACGTTTTGTTTTCGGTACTGGGAATTAATCACCGAGCCTTGAACATGCTAGTCAAGTCCATTACTACTGTGTTCAAGTAGCTATTATGTTTTGTCTTAAGACGGTATATAGACCAGGCTGACCATAAATTTCTGATCCTCTTACCCCAGCCTCCCTAGTGCTGGGATTGTAGGTGTACTAATTTGCCAAACTCCTTTTCTATTCTAGAGTTCAGTCTTTTTGCAATGTAGTAACTTTTGAGTGTGCTATATATAATAGATTGCTAATTCTTACTTAATCCAGTTAATAAAGTTGAGGAGAATATGACTTAACCTAATGTGTGCTAATAGTTATTGATTACCTCTCATGTCAACATACTGAAAATAAAAGATGAATCAATATGTAATTGGCTTAAAGAAACTGATTCATTGAAAACATGTATTACAATACATGACAAATAATATCCTAGAAGCTTAAATTAAAGATGATGGGGGAACATAAAGATAGAGGGTTTAGGTTTACTTGACTAAAATCCTTGACTGACTTATGAGGAATAGCATATGCATGTATATCTTTCTAGGAGTCTGGAACAGTGCTTTATATATTTGACAAATAACATTCCTTTTATATTTGTTTTGCAGGGTCCTATCAATAGTGCTAATAGAGACATTTCGATTCTACAGTGTCATGGAGATTGTGACCCTTTAGTTCCCCTAATGTTTGGTTCTCTTACTGTTGAGAAACTAAAAGCATTGGTAAACCCATCCAATGTAACCTTCAAAATCTATGAGGGCATGATGCACAGCTCATGTCAGCAGGTAGGTGTCTGGAAGCAGCGACTATAGCCACTACTTCAATATCTTCCATGTTGTATTTTCAATACAAATAAATAACACTTGGATTTTGGTGATTTAAAATGAATTCATAATTGAATCAATTTAACACAATTTTCAATGATAGCTTATTCAACTGAATTTTTAAAATCTGTTACCTTTTACAAATGAGCATTGTATATAATCCAAAGGCCAATTTATAAGTATACCTTTATTTCGTAAAATTTAAGTTATAAAAAGTGAGAGCCTTCTTTAATGAAATGGAAGAAAGACATCTATGAGTAGATAAAGATATTTGATGAAGGGATAACAGATCATATGATCATCTGGGGCCATAGCTGGATTGTGTTACCTTAAAAGAGGAAACCATTTGAATCAAGATAGAACAGGGTTAGGTGTGTATTAATAGGAGATGTTGAGAGAGAGCAAGGCTCTTAGGAGCTTATATTACATGCCCTTTGTCTTCTTGATGAAGTAGATTAGTTACTTAGAACATGGATGGGTTTGGTGTGCTTGTAATGGCCTAGAATAAAATTTGAATAGCCAATTGCTGGGGTGTAGTCGAAGCTAACACTGTTGTATAACTATTGAGCACAGTTAAATCATTTGCTTTAGGTACAAAGGAAGTGGGTAGTAATATGATGTACACAAAAAGGCCAACATGCTTGAGATCCTAGAGAGCCCTCCATTGCACACACCCTGAAAGGAGATGTTGAATCTAGAAGAGTAGGGAGACACGGCACCCTGGAGAATAGCTGAAGACACTGAGCATCTTGAGTAAAACACACATAAAAATGAGTGTTTATGCTGGCATATGAGGACCTTTGACTGAAGCTGATCAGCATGGGTGAAAGGATGGGTGTGCAATATTATAGGAAACTATGAGGTAGGGCTTTAGAGTGCTGCAAAACAGACCTCTTTCATGCCCTACCTCTTCTCAGTGATGCAAATACAAGGGTGGAAGTTCACTACATAGCTAAGCTGGTTGACCAGTGAGGGCCAGGGACTTGAGAAAATGAAGAAAATGGGTTTAGACCTAAGTGATTTCCATACATACATTCTTTCAAATGAGTAGCTGTATGTAATTCTTTATGAAAGGTACACACACAAGAGTTAGCTCTGTGTCATTTCATTCCAACAAGGAAACTCCCTGATGCTCCGCTGTAAGTAAGTAGACAGTACTAAACTTCTCTGTATAGGTATTGTCATTCTGAACTTCCTGATTCCCCAGTGTTTTGGGTTTTTTTAATATTTATTTTATTATGTATACAATATTCTGTCTGTGTGTATGCCTGCAGGCCAGAAGAGGGCACCAGACCTCATTATAGATGGTTGTGAGCCACCATGTGGTTGCTGGGAATTGAACTCAGGACCTTTGGAAGAGCAGGCAATACTTTTAACCACTGAGCCATCTCTCCAGCCCCTCCCCAGTGTTTTATTTGTGTGTATAATAATAATCCTTAGAAATATTCCCAGATTTCTTTTGGAGCCTCATTTTTCTTACATGCCCTTTTACTGTAATAGTAAAACATCCTCACCTACATAAATTTTATTATTGGCATCTTGGAGTTGTAATTTCTGACTTATGTAGCTGTTTATTAAGTCATTTTTTTTTCAAATAGGAAATGATGGATGTCAAGCAGTTCATTGATAAACTCCTACCTCCAGTTGATTGACGTCACTAAGAGGCCTTGTGTAGACGCTCACCAGCAGCACTGTAGTAGAGTGTAAACCTTCTTTCTTGCCTGATCTTAAAGCTTCTAATGTTTGCAGTATTAAAATGTTTTTCAAATATATACCAATGATACAGACTAAATGATCATGGGAAATGATCCTTTTAAGTTTCTATACATACATCTGTTTTATACAATCCAGAATATGCTGGGATTAAAGTAGATGAAGAGATGCAGCTAGTTTCTTTTTCTCAAAGTGATTCAGCAAAATAAAATACCACAACCAGAGTTTTATTACATCATTTGAAAAGGACTAGTGTGCTCCTGAAAATCTGTTGAGGTCTAACAAGCTGCTGAGATATCTGTATGTGACTTGCTATGCTGTGAGTGACTATGGCTCCACTCCACACTCTTTAGTTGCTGTGCAGGGTCTGTATTTTATAGGTGTATTCACGTATATGTGACTGTAACACACAAGAATTAGATTCTATTACATTCTCCCTGATACCAGGCACAATGCTAGCAAGTGTCAGAAAAGTAATACTGCTTTTTTCAATTAATGGCCCTTTTATTGGGGAACCAGGCTGTTCTTTTCCTTCTACTTAATTTTTCTCCTCTTAAGAAACAAAGTTTTTGTTTCTTGATTTTTTTAATAGAAGGCCAATATTGCCTCTGCCATAAAAACCTGTTGATATATACTATAATCTGACACTCTGAATCACAGACATACAGTATTTTAAATCTAAGTAATCTGAAAAGAAATCAAACATTACTTAGACTTACATACTTCAAATAACTGCACCTTAGTCCATCTTTAGACTATAGAGTTGCCAGAATCTTCAGTCCTGATAATAATTCTGTGGTTTTATTTTTCTGTAAAAAACTTAAAGGGTAAATAATATCTTGGCATGTTCACAAATAAATATTTAAGACCAGTTTTGAAGTCTAATTTCTAAAACAGTTACATATTATAGCAAAGTTTAAAGTTTACATTTTCTGTACATATGTTATGCTTGAAACCAAATACTGTTCAAGATGAGCAATCAGAAACTTATTTTTAACTGGTAACTAATTTGAATTTTCATCTTAGTTTTTGAGAATTAGTCTCCTGTACAAACATTAAAATAGCAATCATTTGGTTTTAAATCAACATGTCCATAATACTGGTGAAAATTAAATTAATTTATGGGTAATAAAGACTAATTAGAATCTATATAAATATCTATATATACACAGTTGAATATGTTGCAAAAATTATGGTCATTTCTGAACTGTTACTTTTCCTGCTGTTTCCAACTGACCACGACCATGCTAAGAAGCATCATTATAAACAGGTGCTAACTGATATGGAGATCATTTGGTGTGGACTAGATAGGATGTTAATAATGAAGCCATACACTTATGTCTAGATTTAAAACAATTTCAATCATTTACTATTTTGTTTTACTTTGAAGAACATAAACTTGCTTCAGCTGTACCATCAGTAAAATTTTATTTGTGGTAAGAAATATTTCATTGAATTCTTGTGCTGTAATGTGGGAAAATGTCATGTTTTTCATAGTTTCTATCAATGTGAAATAAAACTTAATTCTGGCTTTCTTGGATTGTTTTATGAAGCATTGTTTCATGTTTTAAGACAGAGTCTTACTACAAAGCCCAGGCTCTTAGGAACTTGCCTAAATCAACTCTTCTTTCTCAGTTACTTTTGGTCATGGTATTGTATCACAGCTGGAGTCATGAACTCACCTGCCTTTGCCTCTCAAGTGCTGATATTATAGGATGGACTCCCATGACCTGCTTGTTTTCCCGAGCTTTTGTATTGTTTTTTAAGGTAAGGTCTCCCTTATAGTCAGCCCAGTGTGGCCTCAAAGTATCAATCCTCCTGTCTCTGTCTCCTGAGTGCTAGAATTACAGATGTCAGAATGACCATTGATGTTGAAAGGAAGGATACAAAAATATATTCATGAGAAAATGCATTGGGAGAAAAAATTTTGATGTGATATGATTAACTTGGAATGGAACCAACCATAAGGGAAATTTTTTTTTTAAAGATTCAATATTCTGCCTGCATGTATCCCTGTGGGACAGAAGAGGGCACCAGATCTCATTCCAGATGGTTGTGAGCCACCATGTGGTTGCTGGGAATTGAACTCAGGATCTCTGGAAGAGCAGCCAGTGCTGTTATCCTCTGAGCCTGCTATTCTCTAGCACTTGGGAAATTAAAAAAAAAAAAAACCAAAAAACCTTTCTTTTAGATTTATTTATTATGTATACAGTGTTCCGCCTATCTGTATGCTTGCACACCAGAAGAAGATCTCATTACAGATGGTTGTGAGCCACCATGTGGTTGCTGGGAATCAAACTCAGGATCTCTGGAAGAACAGCCAGTGCTGTTAACCTCTGAACCATCTTTCCAGCCTCCTGAGAAAATTTTTTTACTTAATTTTAATCTGCTAAAAATTTCATTTTCAGTGTCTTAATCTATTTAAGAGACTTTATTGGGTGTTTTCATCTTTTTAAGATTTCTTTATTCTGTATACAGTGTTCTGCCTCCATGTATGCCTGCACACCAGAATGGGGCACCAGATCTCATTACAGATGGTTATGAGCCACCATGTGGTTGCTGGGAATTGAACTCAGGACCTCTGGAAGAGCAGCCAGTGCTCTTGAGCCATCTCTTGTAGTTATCACTAGGAATTTTAAATAAGTATCTAATGTCAGTTATCCAAGTATTTTTTTCTCTAGGTATTTCATTATTGAGTTCTAACTTTTGCTAGTATAGGGGTCTATCCTTTTGTTAGCCTTTCCGTTTCTGCTCTTGAATACTTAAAGTTGACCAGGTCAACTTTTGTGATTTAGCTTGAGTTTGGCATAATCCTAGTAGCAAGAGATTTTGTGATGGTTTGAATAAAAACATTTCCCTATAGGCTCTGTCCCCAGTTGATGGTGCTGTCTGGAGAGGCAGGGGCAGGCTTGCTGGAAGAAGGCATCACTGTGTTCAGTGTAAGCACTGAAGCTCAGATGGAGAGAAAGGTATACTGACAGCAGGGAACCAAGGAGTACCACAAAGTCATTTGGCACAAGAAACCTCACACAAGAGATTTATTGGGAGGGATAAACCAGGAGAGTGGCTACCTCTGCTTGGGGGAAAAACAACAGCAGACTGACCCAAGGATACAGGACTTAGTTTCTTGGGAACGGCATGAAACTTTTCAGGATGCAGACTGGTGTGATTTCACATCCAGATAGTGGGCTTTTTACTCTGTAGGGTGGGGACAGAGTCCAGCAGTTAAGGCAGATAAAGTATTCTGTGGGTGGAACCTAGCAGTCGGGGGAGGGGCTTACAGTCAGGCTTTGAGAGTTTCAAACCTTGTCCCACTTCCAGTTTGCTTTCTCTGCTTCATGCTTATGGCTTCCAACTCCTGCCACCAGGCCCACTGACGCTGCCATGTCTTCCTACCAAGATGGATGTTTTATTCGAGATAGGATCTTTACACCGCCCTGGCTGTCCTGGGACTCACTATGCAGACCAAGCTGGCCTCGAGCTCACAAGAGATCTGCCTGCCTCTGCCTCCCGAGTGCTGGAATTACAGATATGTACCACCATGCCTGACACCAGGATAGATTCTTATCCCTCTAAAAGAGTAAGACAAAATAAGGGTTTGTTATTGTTGTTGCTTTTGTTTTTATATATAAATGGATCTTGGTTACATCACAGCAATGAAAAAGTAACTAATATAAAGGTGTGTAATAAAAACAGGTATTTCTAACATCTACTCTTGCAGAATTAAACTGCAAAGCAGAACCACCTCCCCTGCTGTTCTCATTTGTCAGTCAGGGTAGGATCTTGTAATACACACCTGGCTGTCTTCGAACTCATAGCAGTCCTCCTGCCTCAGTTTCCAAATTACAAGACTTGCAGGTGTGGGACACCATCCCCAGTTCATGTGATGCTTAGGATCACACCCAGGTTCTTGTATATGTACTAACAGTGTGCTGAGTAGGGACCCTAGCTTCATATGTAC